AATTCAATTTTTTCTTGCATGGCTTGTAATGGATATCCCACATTTGCTGCCAGTGTCATAATCCAAAAAATAAAAAATAAAAAAAATCGAGAAAAACGCCTTTAAAGATTTGAGTTTATACATATATACTCCCATAGTAAAAATTAATATATATTTTATTCTAGTGAGTTACTGGTAGTGGGTACATTATTATTATGACACTTTTGCAGCAAATGTGCGAATGCATGATTCAATAATTATAATAATTATTGAATCATGGTGCGAATGTAGGTACCCGGATATAAATATTTTTTAATATTTCTTTTTTTTTTACTTTTATGTAAATAACTTATAGGCTATGTTTCTGCTTTTCATGGCGTATCAACTTTCAGTTGTACAATAATTGCGATCGTCGCGCATTTCTTTCCTTTGCATTCTTTTCGATGTTTTGCTGCAGATTTTAAGTATCTCTATTCTCTCTCCGGTCACCCACATTTCTCCCCACATTACATCAGCAGCCCCGTTGTGGATGAGTGTCATAAAGCACTAGTAGTGGTCGCATCTTTAGTTAAATGTGTCTCGATGTCCACACGACAGATGGGACAATGTTTATTGGTGACCAACCATTGATCGACGCAATCGGTGTGGAAGAGATGCATGCAAGGTAAGCGACTATAAAGAGAAATTAACGAGTAAAAGAAACTTGAATGCTAAATTTTTCAAAAAAATTTATATAAAAATACATATCGTTAGCTTAATTCACAAAGGCTCGAACCAACAAATTTTTTATTTTGCAGGACAAGCAAAAAAACATTTTAAAACGAGTGGCATGTAACTGCGTTAGTTTTGGTAAGAGCACTTTAAAATTTTGATTGAAGGTGTACTTTAACACCTCCTACCAAAAGCTATATGCTCTTGTATTTGAGAAAATTAAAGTATATTTTTTGCATTAAGGATATCGTCCTTTTCACTGATCAGCAAGGAAACTTCGTTTTATTTACTATTTCCATTTACTAATTCTAGATCAAATATTTATTAATGCAGGAGAAATTTTAGTATTGAGAATAGATCTCTGGATTTCACCGTGCCCTCGGATGTTAGATGATCCCAAGTGTGGTTTTCATTTATGCATCAATGCAAGGCACACTGTTGGCAGCTATAACTTTGAAGTAGTGAATGACTTTGTCTACCTAGGATCCAGCATAACACCACCAACAACATCAACCTGCAAAAATCAACCTGTCGAAATAAGATGAGAAGACTTTGGGCGCTCTCGAGAAAACTATTCTACGCAAGATCTACGGCCCTGTACGCATGGACGACGCGTATAGATAAAGATGGAATGACGTGACGAACTGTATCAGCATTCTTAACATGGATATAGTTAAGAGGATAAAAATACAGCGATTAAGCTCGTCAAAAGAGACCGCAGATTAGTAGCAACAACTAGAAAAATAAAAAACAACAACAACAATTTTATTTACTCACCGCACATCGTTTTCAATCTCGAATAACGACAAACATATGGCACACTTCTCAGCATCCTCATCTGACTCGCTGGGGCGACGTACTCGCTTATATTTATGCGGTAATGTGTTACGCTCAATAATTTCCTAATGTTGACGGAAAAAAACATATAAAAATTAAAATGAAAATAAATAACCTTTTAAGCATTTGAATT